TTCATTAGCTAAAACCATCTCGATGAGTTGGGAAACAAATTCCGTAAGTCATGTTACGAATTTTGTCAAATTCGATAAGGATTATAGATGAAATCGTCAAATTAAAACAAAAAAATAATAATAATAAATATAGTTGAGCAATCGAATCGAAACAAATTGAAGTTGAGCACCAACATAGAATATATTTGTAAATTGAGTGACCTCCTTTGGAATTTTCATCCAGAAAATTATTGATGAGTTATTAATGTCTATTTAAATCATTAACTCCAAGCCATCATGCTTTTGTTTAGGTTTATGGACCACCTCCATTACGGCCGCGGCCGCAGCCTCATTTCCGCCGCCCCTATTCTTGCCAATTTTCTCGCACGATGGACAGATTGCAAGTGTCGCAGCCGCCGCCTTAGGTATCCGAATGAAAAACGGCGGCGTTGCCGGTGCTTGTTCCATTTTCACGGCGGATTGTAGCTCCACCAACTCTTTATTCAATCTCCGATTCTCTTCGCTTAATCTTTCGCAGTGTTTCTTCAAGAATTCATAGTCCATCCCGGTTTGCTTCAGTTTCATCCTGCATATTCATTATGAGTAAATTGTATTCAATTAATCCATGCACAAAACCGAAATTAAGATTAAATAAATAAAAATAAGCTAATTACCTTGCTCTTCTGTTTTGAAACCATACTTCTACTTGTCTTGGTTTCAGATTCAACCTTACTGCAAGTGTCTGTTTGTCAACCTGTCATCCATGGAATTTCAAACCGAAAAAATTATAATTCCCTGTTTGGTGTAGATTAAAAATTGATAAAAATCTCAGGTCATCTCGCAATTTTTTAACAACGTATTTCATCAATTCTTATTAAAATTTACTAAAAATCTGTTTTTAATTGAGTCAAACGCATGCATGCATACCATATTAAGGGTAGTATGGCGTTTGAAAGTGTCTTCAAGCAAGATGATTTGTTCTTTACTAAGCCTCAATTTCTTTCTGCCATAGTTTCTGTCTGCATCCTCACTGGTAACACTGTCTTTGCTTGCTTCTTTATCGTCATTACAATTGACTTGCAAACTACTCGAACCAGAACCAGAACCAGAACCCGAACCCTCGATTGCATGATCACTCGAATGAAGTGGGATCGACAGATCAAGAAAAAACACGCGCTTATTCTTCCCATCATGATCCCTTTTCGCCGTTTTCGGCACGAATTCACTTAATCCAATTCCCAAATCAAGTCTCGTGTCACAAACATCTTCCATGGTTGATCAGAGAGAATTTATTTTTGGGGTGAAGGGTGTCAATGAGATTGGGAAGGACTAGTTGGGATGATATATAGTGTTATAATTAAGTGGAAACAGATTTTTAATTATGTACTTATTGTATGAAAAATGTGAAAGAAAAGTGAATAATAATGTCATGCGTTTGGAATATAATCCCTAGGAGGAAACCAAAAAACCTTCTCGGCTGTCTAAGTCTTAGTCAAGTTCGATTAATTTCGTACCGTTTTAATAAGATATAATTAAAGGCCCTTTTGACTTCTAAAATAAGTATACTATTGATTAAAGTTTAAATTTAAATTTATAAATAAGATATAAATTTAGTTGAATTAGAACTATTATTCATTATTATTCATCTTTATGAATCATTTATAAATTTGTCAAATGGAGACTAAGAAAACTTATGAAAATATTGATAGTGGCTTAATATAGACCGTTACATACCATGTAATAAGTACAAATTTTACTTCACGGAAGAAATTAACTGTTTTTCTCACTTAAACCCCTTGAACATAAGAACGTGTATTCTTGCTGAGTGAAAATGGTATGTTTGGTGACGATTGATGGTTTAGCGACATAATGGAAAAATGTTGCTGACATAACATTAGTGACGAAACATTTCATCACTAATGTTATGTCAGCAACATAACATTAGTGACGAAAAAAATATATTCCAGATGATAATCCATTGTTGAAAAAAATTAAAAAATACACAATTTCCCCCTTTTTTTTTTAATTTCGTGATTTCCATTTTTTTTTTTTGTAAGTCTAATTTTACAAATGTCCAGTTTTCAATTACATTGTCAAAAATGATCTCATATTTTCCAATTATATTTCGTCTAGTGCAGGTATTATCAAAAACCTTTTGTGGATTTTATAAAAAGATGATGTTTTCCTGCATATTTACTGAAAACAAAGCATCTTAATTTTTCTTTGCAAATTATTTAAAAATCAAGGTTCAAATAATTGTTCATTTACAACACATTTCAAACCTGAGATTACTTGCACAACATGATTTTTCACCATATTTTTTCTGGAGATAATCAATGAAGAAGTTGACAAACATTTCAAAATAAGGAAAAAACAAATCACACTTTTTATTGGCTAGACGGATTTTACATTCTTATACACACTTTCCATCCTCACTGAACTCTACAAACCTAAAAATTCTGCATTTGCAACCCTTCTAATCACAAAATAAATGAAGCACGATACTAAAACAAAAAATGCAAGGCCACAGCAAACTTCCGACCAAAAAGAATATCAAGCAACTAACTCGCCAAGAAAAAAAAAATTATCTCCAATTTTGTTCACCAAGTATGGAAAGAAGCATCTCGAGAGCAGAAGCAGCTAAAAATGCACTGATGACATCCCTTACAGCTTGAGAAACTGGTTTCTTTGCTGTGTAAGAACAAGTCTACGGATCAAGATGTGAAAATGAAGTGATTAACAAAATGTTTGCTTAAGCCTTAAAAATGTAAAATTACTTCTAAGCACTCGTCTCCAAACAAGTTTGGACAACTTACTTTTTCTTTCAGGTGAAAAAAGTTATTTTTTTAAAGGCAACTTACCTTGAGGTTAAAATAAGTAACTTAGTTATTTCCAACTTCACCAATAAAACAAATAAAGTAAACTATTTAAACTTAGCCAAACATGCTACAAATTTGCAAATATAGTGATAGAAATGACGTACAAAATCTTGAACATGCTTTCTCTTATCTGCAATTTATGTGTGGAGGAACCTGAGAACGAATTAGATATCCTGAAAGCACTCAGAATAGTTGAAGTGATATTTTATGCTTATTCTGCTTCCATTTAGGCAACTTGTAGAAAGCAGCCTTAGTCATCCCGAATTTCTCCTTGAACTCTTCCGAGGACAGATAAGTCTGAAAACAAGATTATCCAAATCTTTGTCAAAACAATTATGAAATTATCTTGCTATCACAATACTTTTCCACATACATACCTCTCGCCTGGTCAAATCAATTTCGGTGACAGGATCTGTCGATGATGTTATTATTCGTTCATATGGGTATATTGGGAGTCCTTCCTCGTCCTCAGCATCACCCTCCTTGACATCCTCCTGTATAGTCTCTGGTTTATGTTTGGGTGATTCTTCTGAGTTCTCCGCTAAGTTGGTTTCAGAGTTTGGTTTCGGAACTTTAGGGCTCACTTCACCAATATTAGGAAAAAAGAAAAGTATTCAACACACATCCCTAATGAGGGCTACATAACTGACTGAGAAGAGTGGATAAACCACCGTTTGTCACTCAACTTATACTGGAGTTTCATGTTAGTACCTAACTTTATTTCGATTCGAAGTAGTTGCTCAATTTTACTTTTTGTTTAGGTAAGTCACTGAGTTAGCATCCGTTCACATTTTTAATGGAATGGATGACGTGGAAGACCTCCATGTAGATGTCACATTAAATTGCCATCTTCCATCAGTTAGAAACTAATGAATTTTTATTGAGCAACTAAATTAAACGCAAACTAAATTTCAGTGATAACTTCGAATAAAATAGAATTCAGTGATTAACATAAAACTTCACCATTGAGTGACTAGGAGTGTTTTTAATCCATTGAGAAAAACCTTGAGAAACATCACCTTTAGGAGAACGTGGAAGATTGATGTCCCGAGCCAGCGGCTTTTTTTCAAAAGTTGCACTTAATGCTGCTATAGCTGCTGATCTAGAAGCCGAATTAGCTGAATCAGGGGTCACAGATTTCGGATAAAGCTTTCTTATCATGGGAGGAGGAGTCGACAGGTTCCTTGCATTGGAATTCTCAAAGGTCGAGGCTAGAGCATTGAACGCTGGAGACTTGCCCCTCACACGAACTCTTTCGGGGCTAAAAGACATGCTTCTAGAACGCTGTGATTTTTCTGGTGCAGCAGACCTTCCGCCATATGATATAGGAGTTCTCCTTTTGGGTTTCTACCACGTATCATGCATATAATAGCAGAGAAGACATAAGAAAGACAGTTCTATGTGAATAAGAGAAAATAAGACAAGTAATGATAAATTGTGCCTTCATAACATCGAAATTCTTGCTCCAACTTAAGCATGGTGTATAACGAAAATATAGATAGCATTCCCAATTGCCATATAAAAACAATACAGTCAAACTGTTAGTGTGAACATTATTTATTTATTTTGATAGCAGGGCAACTTCTCCTGCCTTATTTTGTCACTCCAAATTACTCCAATTAATTGTTAAAAAATCAGCACATTTAGTGTCATTATTAAATACTAAATATGATACGTTAGAATCAAAATGTTAAAATGTAACGAATGAAGTAATTTATAATTTTAGATTGAAATCACTGTGCATGATCACCATATCTTGGAGTTTTTTCAAGAAGATAATCATTTTGATGCCCAAAATTGAACTGAGCAGATTATATATAATATTCCATAAGGTAACCAATCGTTCTTGTGTGATAGAACCTTATATTTATCGTTTAACAATTGACAGGTTGAGCAACTTAGCATAAACAGGATAAAGTGGAGTAAATTTCCTCTTAGAAGCACAAGCTTTTATCTCCCCGCCCCCACCCCCCTTCCTCTAAGAAAAATAAGCAAAAGGTTGATTGGAGGGAGAAACCAACCATAAACTGACAAACGGCCACTAAGTTTGGCACCAGCTCTATTGCCATTCTTATTCTATATTTGGATGAACTCTTTTTAGAATTGTAAAACCCTCAGTTTTGATGAGAAATCAGTCATCTAGTTCTTGAACTATAATCTAGCCATGATTTTGACACCTTACTCTGTCAAATTCATTGATGAAATGTATGCTTTCTACAGGTTAGACAAAAAATTGACTGAACGGCTATGTCACAACTGTTACCTAAGAACACTATCACATTTAACTGTTATCATATGGCATTCCAACATCACAGATCCTTCCCATCCCACAATTACTTCTTGATCTGTAGATAACCAGGGAAGAATATAAAAAAATGAATAGTAGTAAAAGGTGTTAAACTGACTAAAGGAAAAGAATTCCGAAAAGTTCCAAAGAAAATTAATAAATAAATCACAATAAGAAAATTTGACAACAAAATGTGCAACTTAACATACAAAACTTTGCAAAATGATATTGTAACGACTCGGGTCTTTATACCCAATTAGTACCAGAATTCAACTTAAGTCGTTTCTCATTAGACAGAGGTCTTGGGTTCGAATCCTAGGGGACGCGATAAAAAGCCTTGAGGGGATAAGTGGGCATATACCCACCCAAGGCAAACAGTACGTAAGTTAAGGGTTAGGGTATAAAGACCTGGCTTGTTACAAAAAAACACGCGTTTTTTGTAACGACCCGGGTCTCCATACCTAAATCGTTAGCTTACGTACTGTCCGCTTTGAGTTGACCTATGTTCACTTACCCCCTCAAGGCTTTCAATCGCGTCCCCCGGGATTCGAACTCAAAATATCTGCCTAATGAGAAACTTAAGTTAAATCTTGGTACCAATTAGGAAACTTTTTGTAACGAATCGGGGTCTACATACGTAAGTCGTTAGCTTACGTACTGTCCACTTTGGGTGAACCTATGCCCACTTACACCTTCACGGATTTCTATCGCGTCTCTCAAGATTCAAACACAAGACCTCTGCCTAATAAGAGACATAATTTGCATCCTAGTACCAATTGTACAACTTATAGTACTAGTATTCCACTTAAGTCTCTTATTAGGCTAAGGTCTTGAGTTCGAATCGGGGTACGCGATAAAAATCCGTGAGGGGCCCACTTACCTCCTCACAGCTTGGATATAGAGACCCGGGTCGTTACAAATTTGGTAAAGAATACGACATCTATGGCACTAGCATAATCGTGCACCAACATTTTTTCAGTTAAATTATAATACTTCAACATGTTTGCGCATCGAATGATCGTTGTCTGATATAATTTATCATACGAAACTAGACATGAAAATGGCAGATATGACACTTGTCGTTGCATTGCAAAAAGGGAACCAAA